TTTTTTTTTTTTTAATTTTGATACTAGTGTTGGTAAATTGCTCAGGCTGCGCTTCAACTTTCTGTTCTTCTGCCTCAGCCTCCCAAGGTGCTGGGAGTACAGGGCATACACCATCGCACCAGACTAAAGGGATCTGATTTCTTTTCTTTCATTGTCAACCAGCTGGGATTTAATGTTCACTGGACAGTTATCTGTACTTACTCAGGTAGCTCTGACTTGGAAAAATTCTCTCTGTCCATAGCTTTTCTTCCAACTTGCAGATCACATGCGGCACAGTCATGTGAAAACCTAATAATGAAAAACGAAACTTGATCTAAACTGTTTGTACTTCCAACAAAGAAGAAGAGGAAGATTCTGCATCAAGGCGGCAGATAAGATACCCATTAATTAATACCAAAGTTAATACCCTGCGTTAGGCAAGTGAGGGTATAATCGCATTTTCTGTTAATAAAGTGCCTCATTACCTCTGATCATTCAAATTCAGTTTCTTATTTTTCAGAGATTCTTAAAAGGAGATACAGAACACTGAGTCAGTGCTCCCTTACCCACAGAGATGAAGTGGCAGTAGTTTTCCAGCATCACCTCCCTGTAGAGGGCCTTCTGAGCAGGGTCCAGTTGCTGCCACTCTTCTTCAGTGAAGTCCACAGTCACATCCTTCAGTGACACTGGTCCCTCTAGTTCACCCTGAAGTGATGGGAAATGGGTGAGAACTAGATACTGAAGACCTAGTTCTGACAATGTTAAGTGGTCAGACTAGTTTTCTTATTCCGTGTCTAACAGAAGTTTTTCACTTCTGTGAAAATCTTGTTTGCAAAATAGCTGATTTTGGTTTAGCAAGATTAATTGAAGACAATGAATATACTGCAAGACAAGGCACAAAATTTCCAATCAAATGGACAGTTCCCAAGGCTGCACTTTATGGTTGATTTACAATAACATCTGATGTATGGTCTTTTGGAATTCTACAGACAGACAGAACTTGTAACAAAGGGAAGAGTGCCCCATCCAGTGTGTCAGGTATGGCAAAAGGTGAGGTGGTGGAATAGATGGAGCAGGGGTACAGGATTCCTTGTCCTGAGGGCTTCCCAGAGTCACTCTAGAAATTTTTCTCTGCAAATGCATCCAGCAGTATTTACTAACTCTCTCATGCTAAATATATATACATACTGACATCATAGTATCTGTCTGAATGTGACTGGTTGTCTGGTAACCAAAATGACTAAAATACTAATCCTGCTCATGGGAAGTTAAGGCTGAGAATGAGGCATAAATGAAAACAGAGGGACTCAATCAGTATTACAGATGCAATGATGTATGTATGAGGGGAAAGTGTCACAAACCAAAGAAATACTTCATTTTTTACTCTGAGGTTTCATTGAGAATGTAAAATTTTTGAACTCACAATAAATTTGTTTTGAAAAATACAGGGCAAACTTCACAAGGAGAAAGAAGCCCAGAAAATTCAGGAAATAGCAAAAGGCACAGTACATTAGGAAAGCTTTTGTACTCTAAAAGGAAAGGTAAGGGCCAGCCAGATAGCTCAGTCGACTAAAGTGCCTGCTTAGGCAGATGCAGGGATTGGGGTTCGATCCCAAGCATGCTGTGCCAGCCCCGCCCCTGGGGCACCTGAGAAGGTGATTGAGACTGGGCATGGTGGCACTCGCTTGTAATCCCAGATCTTGGGAAGCTGAAAACAGGAGGATCACTACAAGTCTTATCTGTGTAGTGAGACCTTGTTGACCCTGTACTAAATACATTTTTTTTTTTTAAAAAGGAAAGGTATAGGAAAGTAGCCAGTGGTATATGATGGAATGGTACTAGATTTTTTTTCCTTAAAGCACTATTTTTAAAATGTAGTTAGTACATTTCCAATATATTTACACATCATTGGCAGGCACTAATGGCACCCTTCACTGTTAATGATTACTACTGTGTTCCTTTTTTTTTGGCAGCACTGGGAGTTGAGAATTGAACTCATGGTTTTTTACTGAGCTACATCCTTAGGCTTTTTTTTTTTTTTGAGACAAAATCTTATTAAATCACTAAATTGCCTAAGCTGGGCAGGAATTTGCAATCCTGCCTCAGCCTTCCACACTGGTAGGATTATAGACATGTGGCATCATGCCTGGCTACCATTTTTTTTTCCTCTGTCTTTCTGAGACAGGGTCTCACTCTGTAGTTCAGGCTGGCCTTGAGTTCACTTTGTAGCCCAGTCTAGTCTTAAACTTGCAATGATCCTCCTGCCTCAGCCTCCTAAGTGCTGGGATTACAGGTGTGTGCCACAATGCCTAGTTATAATTACTACTCTTGAATGGAAACTGCTAGAATTTTCTTCCCTGCCAATATATTGTCTTGTCACAATATGTATGTATCACAGTTCACATATCCCTCTTTGGATCTGCTGCTTAAGGAATACAAAGAAATGTAAGTCAAATACTTGTTACATGATAAAATTTGTACTTTAGAGGCAGTACACTTAAAGACTGGAGAAAGTTCAAGGTGTGTTAGGTGAAAAAAGAAAGTTTGAGAGTTGCCTCTAGATTATGAGTATTAGTGGGTTGACAGGTTCTTACATGGGTATTAGTGGGTCGATTGGTTCTTACATGATGAAGCGTACCAAAAATTGGTCAGAAATTGGGATAGAGTAGAAGAAAGAGAGGTATAACTGATGGCTTATCTACATAGGTAAGTGTGCAGGTGCTGGGACTAGAAAATGGAAATAGGAAATAGAAGAAATAATAGGGGGGATCAAAAGAGGTAATGAGGCAAACCCTTGAAATGTACTCGAAGTGCTTACAGAACAAAGAGTTGGTAATAACTCCTAGAGATTGAATATATGGTTTGACACTCTGTCAAGAATGGATAGAGGCATCTGAGAGTCACTGCAACCACAGAGGTGTAACCTCACAATGAATCTGATTATACAGAAAAAAAAAAAAAAAAAAAAAAAAAAAAAGAAGAAGCAGTGAAGAAAAGGGATCCAATCAGTGGGTGGGAAAACCATTACTAAAAAGGTTGGGAGATGTGAAATTTTCTGAAAGAAAAATGCAACTAGGACAAATACCACCTTGAATTAAAAGTAGACTAGCATATATCTCCCTCTGCATACAAAAAAATCAGGAGAAATCCAGGCATAGTGGTACACAAATACTGTATAATGTGAGCCCTTTGTGCAAGGCAGATACAGGAGAACTGTGCCTGGGCAACTTAGTAAGAACCTGTCTCAAAATAAAAAGCTCAATGTAAAGGATGTAGTTCCTAGTAGTACAAAACAAACAAAAAAGAAGGAATAAACCTACAAGAACACTGGAATACCAGAAAGTTTTTCATGCCATCCTATGACTTTTAGGAACTGGTAGCAGACATAGATCATATAGATGGATCAGACAGGAAGAATACAAAACCTGCTTTCTGTACAAGATTACGGATCAAAACTCAAATCTCTAGGAACTGGTAGGACAGATTTGGGTCAAATTTATGGATCAGAGAGGAAGAAAACAAAAATCTCAGTCTTCTGTATATGATCACCATCAAATCTGTATTCCCCAAACCTTACAGAATAGACAGCTTTCCACAAACTAATAATGTGACCTACAAATTCCATCTACCACTTATTGTGAAATTTAAATTAGTGGAGATGATCAAGGCTTTTCCATGTATGCTCTTTGACTACTCACAACTTAGATTTTAAATCAGTGTGAAGACAAGATCAACTCATTCAAGCAAATGTTTCCATTTAAATCAAGAAAATACTTCCTGTTCCAGTAGTGTACTGAGAAAGGAGATGATAAATATATCCATCAAAATGTACAACCTAGTTATGAGTAAAAGGTTTAAATTTATCTGGTTGGAATGAAGAAATTGGGCACAGGTTAGGGTGCCAAAGTTAGAAAGAAACAGCCTTAAATACTGTACCTGATTCCACTTGCTTGTGTCACTCTAATCTGAGCCCTGACCTGAGACCACTTTATGGAAATGAATCCCATTAATGAGGAAATTCAAGCAACATTGCTAAAAAAAGTTTGTATTTCTTGAAAAAAAAAACCAGAAAGGAAACATCTCACCTTAGACATGGCTTCAAGTTGAGCCTTCTGTTTTGAGCTCTTCTTTTGGAAAAGGTAAGAGTCCTACAAAGACAACGGTAAGGATAGAAACCATTTGAAAACGTATTTGATTTAGGTCTCTCAGAATAACTTAGTTAAATCTCGTTAATTTTCATTGTTTCAGGATTTTCCCCCTCTGTGTACACTTCAGAAATCTAGGACACAAGTTAGTGGAACAAGACAAATCCTGCTCTCCTCACCACCAGTAACCTAGTCTCTTGCTTAGGTAGAATGGATTCTTAGGAACCTATCAGAGCACACCTTTTCCATGGGGCACAGCTTTCAGGTATTTTTCCAAATTGTTTTTTGTGGTCTTTCTAGCAACTTATACTGTCACCTGAGGTACATGAGGAAAGCTCACCATACTCTGACAAAACCAGTTGAGAACATTTTATCTTTGCTTTTCAGATCAATGTTGCAGTTCTAAAGTATTCACATCTTATTCTGAGTAAGAATTCTTTTAAAATGTTTAAAGATAGCACATGGTAGCACATTAGCACATGGATATACTACCAGCTATCAGAAGACTGGGGTAAATGTGAGACCAGCCTGGGCTACTTGAAAAAATAAAATATAAAAAGGGCTACTGGGGATGTAGCCAGGTACAAGTTCAGTCTCTAGCACTGAAAAAACAAAAACAAAAACAAAAAAAACCCTAAAGCTATTTTTTTTTATTCTTAGTATCTTTTTATACTGTCTTATTTTCTCATGTGCTCTTGCTTCCTAATTAGTTCACATTATCTTTTGTCTACTTATTTTGTTTGTGATGCTACGGATCAAATCCAGGACCTTATGCAATTAGGCAATGAGTCTATCATTGATTTACATTCCTAGTCACTACGTTCTTTTTTTTAAATTTAGGAAATCAATTCCTTATTCATTTAAAATTTCAAATATTTTATTTATTTAT